TATCAGATGGGTGGAGAGAAAATGGAGAAAGCAAGTATAGGCAACCCTTTGGGGATGGAAATATATGCAAAGTACTTGACCCTGAGGACGGCACAGAGTAAATGTGCAGTGAGTTACATTTAAAAGGACAAACAGCTAAACATGGGGAGCTGTAAAGATTAAGGAAGATACTGCGTGGTGCAGAAGTGCCTAGTGGAGATCCAGCGCTCGAAAGATCCTGGTTTTTATTACCCCCTCCTTTGACACTGCCCACTACCCCCAGATCACACACGTATACGCACATACACACATAGGCACGTACACACACACACACACATACACACACACACACACAGCACTTTCTCTTCTTTCCCTGCTGAGCCTTGTGGGAAGGCTAAATCCTCCTCCCTGAATCCTTCTTCCCAGCTATTCTGCCACTTTGTATCAACCGCGTGGCCATGGAGATGAAACAAGTTACTTGAGGGGAAGATAAGAAATCAAAACATATGGAGGGTGCTTGTCCAGATAGCATAAATGACTCTTTGTTATAATATGGGAAGCAAAGTCTCAAATTAAAAATAAAAGAAGGCATGATGTAGCTTTTGCTGCACTTCAACCACCGTGGAGATTCATTGTCATACAATCACTGAGAATATTGTGTTGATTGGCAAGAGCTGGGCTTTGTAGAAGGGACAAAATTCCCCACAGATAATCTACAATGGAATTGTTCAATGTCAGGCCCAGCTCTAATAATATTGTTCTGGGCTGCGTTGGATGTAAATATCTCACTCTTCATTTTGTAAGCAATCAAAGGAAAGCTTTATAGATGGGAAGACATGAACGGTTATAATAGTGTCTGTGCTGAAAAACACACGAGCAAAGTAAGAAAATCAAAGAACATTGTGCCTTAGAAAGGCTTCACTTTGTGGCTTATCTCCCATCTCCTATGTCTGTCCAGCAAGTTGCACATTAGACACATAACAAAAGACCGCACTTTAAATGCTGCCCTTGACATTATTAAAAAGTACGGGATTGGCAAATCAGACTGGAAAAAAAATCAAACTTTTAAATCTGGACAGTCAGACAATCTCCCTTCATGTTGTGGCAATGCCTAAAATGATAAAGGGAGAAGGAGACTTTTAATACTCTCAATAAAATACCCACTATGTGCTAGGGTACTTTGCCTCTGTCAGAAGTAGTACAACGATTCCAATTAACCGTGCTGAGTGATAGAGCCAGAAAGACCCAGATTATCATTTTTTAGCTGTGTGGCCTTGGCCAAGCAGGTTAATTAAGCTCTCTGCTTAGTTTTTTCACCTGTGAAATGAGAATAATGCATAACCCACAGGATCGTTTTGAGGATTGAGTAAAATAACCTTTTAGTCCAGGACCTGAAACATACCAGGCACTCGGAGGAAGGTGTTATAAATTTTAATCTACACAATAGCCCTGTTATGGGTTGAATTGTTTCTTCTAAAAAGATGTGTGGAAGACCTAGCCCCCAGCACCTGTGAATGTGACCTCATTTGGAAACAGAGTCTTTGCAGATGATCAAGTTAGGATGAGATCATGAAGATACGCCCTACCCAGCAGGACTGGTGTCCTTATAAGAAGGGGAAATTTGGACATGGAGACACAGTGGGAGAACACTATGTGAAGATGGGGGATTGGGGTGATGCATCTACATGCCAAGGAACCTAAAAGATTGCCAGAAAGCCACCAAAATCTAGAAAGAGAAAAGGAAGGATTCCCTTACAGGTTTCGGAGGAATCATAGCTCTGCCGACCCCTCCATTTTGAACTTCTAGCCTCCATAACTGTGAAAAAATAAGTTTCTGGGTTTTTTAGCCACCTAGTTTGTGGTACAGCAGTCCTGGCAAACTAATACAGCCTCATGAGAAGAAAAAGTATCCCCATTTTCAGAGGAAGAATCGAAGCCCAGAGAGATAAAGTTTACAGCTAAGATCACTCAGGCAGAGGTGGTCAGGCTGGGATTTGAACCCAGGCCTCTCTGAACCCAAAGTCTATCCTCTCTCCATTTACGTGTGGCCTCCATTCACAGGAGCGGAGCTTGGGATGAAAAACAAGGTAGGGCTGGAAATGAGCCCCCATTCATTAAACCCGGTTCCCAGTGGAGGCACCAGGTCAGAGTGGTCTGATTATGAACAGCTCATTAAGTAAGGAGCAGTGAATGTTTGAGAGTGACTTTTTAAGAAGAATCGACTTTTATTTATAGTGACGTTCCAGTCATTAATTTCGAAGGAAGAAAGCCCAAAGCAGAAGCAGGTTCATTAAAAATTTGACATTAGTAATTTAATTAAATTGGGTCTTTGCATCTCGTTGCAGAAAATGAAACGTTAGTTCTACACCAGTTCTCAGCTCATTTCCCCTGGTTGGCTCCCTCCCCTCACCTTAGCTTGCTTTCTTCTCCAAATGTTTACCTGCCCTGCCCCTCCCACCCCCAACACTCACAAACATGCACACATCACAGTCACTGCCTCCGCACTAAGCCAGCAGCAGGGGATCATGGGAAGCTCCAAGTGAGCCACCAGCAGGCGATCATGAGAAGCTCCAAGAGAGCCAGCAGCAGAGGATCCTGGGAAGTGCCAAGTAAACCAGCAGCAGGGGATCAATCATGAGAAATGCTATGTAAGCTAGCGGCACAGGATCATGGGAAATACCAAGTAAGCCAGCAGCAGAGATCATGGGAGGTGTTAAGTAGGCCAGCAGTGTGGGATCATGGGAAATGCTAAGCTGAGCCAACGGACAGGGCAATGGAGGTTAATCTTTTCATCCAGGTCATCTTACTTTTCAGGGGTAGAGAATGGGTGAGGAAGAGCTCTTCATTCTTTAAGATTAATTATCCCACAAACATATAAGCCTCTGAGGGCTGAGACCACTGCTATATTCCCAGCTCCAAGCACAGTAGGCCTGCAATGAATCTTTGTTGCATGAAAGAATTAATACGTGAATGAATAACTCCCCAAATAGCTGATTAATGAACATATAAATATGTTCCTCCAAGTGCCAGGCACCGTGTTAGTCTCCCAGGATACGCCTGTGAGCCAGAGCAGGCTTGTGCCCTCATGGCCCTGCCGCCCAGTGGAATGAGAACATCTGCCAACTTGGGAGCACCTACCGCGTGCCGGGCACAGGGCCAGCCATGCAGCGTGTATACTGGTAACCCCCTCAGCCACTAGATGTTCTTGGCCTCACTCCTTTCTCAGTTGAGGAAACTAAGGCTCAGAGACTTCACATAAGGCAAGGTCACACAGAATAAGACAGTGAGAGCACCTGGTTTCAAACCCAGATCTGGCTGGCTCCAAAGTCTATACCAGTTCCCTCCACACTGAGCTGTTTTCTCTCAGAAGAGGAGAAGAGAGTGGGAAGGCCTTCCTTCGGAGGGTTCTGAGATCATCAGGGCTGGTAGGGAGGGTCCTGGGAGGCTGGTGCCGACAACGATGTGGCTATAAAGAGGATAATGTAAGGGCTTGGGGACCCCTTTAGAGTCCAGGCCCACCCATCTCCACTTCCTCATCATTGCCACCCCATCCTTTCACTCCAGGCTCCCTGAGCTCCTAGGTTATCTCTGGCCTCAGGGCCTTTGCACATGCTGTTTGCTCTTTCTTGGCCTAGCTAATTCTTACTAATGTCTCAGAGTTCTGCATAGATGTCACCTCCTCCAGGAAGTCATCTCTGATCTCCCATCCCCACCCCTACCCCCCACCGACTGGGTTTGGTCCCCTGCCTGGTCCCTATCCCATCATAACCCTTAGTCTGCCTTTACTCGTGCACATCTGCCACTGGCCTAGGAACTTAGATTCACTTGTGTTGTACTCACTGTGCACAGGCCCTGTCCTAGGCACTTTGCATACCTGAACTCATTTATTAATAATTCTCACAACAATTAAATTGGCATGAGGAAGGTACTGTTGTGATCCCTATCTTACAAACGAGAAAACTGAGGTGCAGAGTGGTTAAAAGACTCGCCCAAGGTCCCACAGATGGTGAGCTGTCGGGCTGGGAAGTGAACCCAAGCATGGTGGCTCCATGAGTCTGTACTATCCACCACCCTGCTGTGTGGCCTCTCACATTCTGATAAATCAAAGCCAGGTGGGTTAATGGAGAGGTTTGGACAGTGGTCTGGGTGTGGCCAAAACCCCTTGTCCTCACCCTATGGGGACGTCTTGGAATGGTGGGAGTTGTGGACCTTCGGGGAATAGGCAGCTGCTACTCAGGAGAAAGGCAGAGGGCAGGGGGAGCTGGGTCAGGTGGGACAGGTAAGGAGGAGCTTTCCTCCCTCCATACTGATTGCTGGGTCATGATGATCTTCTGCCCTTACTAAGACCATTTCTTCTGGTTAATGGGGGTGCACTCACATCTGGTCCCGACTGCTTTGGCTCCAGTCCCACACTGCATTGTACTCCCCAGCTCCCAATTTTCCCCTTTAAATGAGTCAGTCTGATGAGAACTACGGTTCTTGTCTTCCCACCTCACTGCCTATTCCAGCATCAACCAACCCCTTCGATTCCCCTGCACCTGCTGGGCCAGAGTGCCCCTCTGGCTTCCAGGGCAGACCACACATGAAAGAAATGACACTGGATTTAATGAGCACCTACTCTATGCCATGGTCTGTGTCCCTTCCATGGTGTTTGGTGAGAAGGAGAGGAGTCTGAAATCAGACCAACCATGCCCAGGGATTAAAGTGACTTCCCCGGGGTTGTATCTCTAGTGATCGGGACAGACATAATTCACACCCAGGGCTGCACATTAGAAAAAGCAAGAAACCTGGCTGTCCAATTACAGAGCTCATATGTGGATCCTCCTTAACATGTGACCTCTTCTGAGTAACCCATTCTCTGAGAATCGGCAGTTGTGAGAGGTGAGCAGATCAGCTGTGGCCAACCACGTGCCCAGAAGAAGAAATGAGTCCCAGGGAGGCCAAGTGGCCTAGGGAGGTATGTGTGGCTAAGAAGCGGGTGTCAGGGCTCGTGGGCTAAATGTCTCTCCCTTTCTTTGTAGTTCTCCCCAGTCACACGTGCGGGAACCCAGGGAGGCTGACCAATGGCGTCCAGCAGGGCTCGACCTTCAACCTTGGTGACAAGGTCCGCTACAGCTGCAACCCCGGCTTCTTCCTGGAGGGCCATGCCGTGCTCACCTGCCACGCTGGCTCCGAGAACAGTGCCACATGGGACTTCCCCCTGCCCTCCTGCAGAGGTAGGTGGCTAGAGAGGGGTCTGAGGGAGTGCGCATTGGCTGGGAGGGGAGGCCGGAGCTTCCGGTAGGATCCAGTCTCAAGGGCAGAAGCTGCACCCCAGCAGGGCATAGGGACCTATCATGGGGAGCCCAAGTCTGGGGAGCACCGAGGGTCCACAGGGCCCCCAGGTTTTCTAGGGGCTTTTGAGCCTCACCTGACCTCCTTCATGTGTGCACTCCATTCCCTTCCCCTGCATCGACAAACTTATTTTTAGCCAGTCTGCCCTCACCCCCTGCCCTGCTGTCTCAGATGAAACATCCTTTCTCTTCCCCTACAGACCATCCCTCCTCTGGCGTGCAGATCGCTCCTCCAGCAGCTTCCGTACTGACCTCATCTTAGCAATTGTTCCTTTCTCTTTCTTATGTATCCAGCCTCTCTCCCTATTTAATAGTGCCTTCCTCTCAGCCTCCAAATACGCTCAAAACCACTTTAGCCCAACCACACTCCCCCTAAAAAAACCTCTCTTCAATGCTATGTCTGCCTCGGCCTCCCAGCTTCGGTAAACAAGTTGTCCCTCTTTGCCCAAGACTTCCCCATTTTTAGTCCTGAAGTCCCACATCCTAGAAAACCCCTCAGTCCCAGGCAAACCACGGCATTGGTCACGCTGCTCATTGGTCACCTGTCTTCCTTATTGCCCCTGCCCCCGCCACTCATAACAGTCATGTGCATTTCTAATGTAATTTCCAGTGGCTATCTGATAATAAAAACAGGCTGGGCACGGTGGTTCACGCCTGTAATCCTAGCACTCTGGGGGGCCGAGGTGGGGGGAGCGCTTGAGCTCAGGAGTTTGAGACCAGCCTGAGCAAGAGCAAGACCCCATCTCTACTAAAAATGGAAAAATTAGCCAGGCACCGTGGTTTGCGCCTGTAGTCCCAGCTACCAGGGAGGCTGAGGCAGGAAGATCACTTGAGCCCAGGAGTTTGAGGTTGCTGTGAGCTAGGATGATGCCCCTGCACTCTACCCAGGGTGGCAGAGCGAGACTCTGTCTCAAAAAAGTAAAAAATAAATGCACGATCAATTTTAAAAGCTTAGAAAATACAGAAAAGAATAAAGAAGAAACAAAATTTACCCATTTTAATCACAAATTTTATGTATTTCCTTTTTATCTTCCAACACATATTGCACATATGCATATAGTACAAAAAGTACATAAATTGAGATGATAATGCATGTAGATAATTTTTAATCACCTTTGAAAAACTACCGCTTTGCATGGTAGGATTTCCCATGCCGCCAGCAAAGCCCATCCAGCCTCTGTCTCCCTTTTACCTCCCGTTTACTCCGCTGTAGGCTGGCCTTTGCCCTAGTACTCTGCATCCTGCCACCAGATCAGGTGGGAATTGTCTTGGCCTTTATATTTCTTGACCTCTTGGCAGCCTTTTGCACTACTGACCACCTTTTCCTTCTTAAAACTTTCATCTCTGCATTCCGTGGTTCCAGAACACCTGTATGACAGTCAAGGAGGTGAGAATGATTGGTGTAAGTAGCTCCTCCTTTGGTTCCAGTTTTACTTTTCTCCTGGAGGAAACTTTTCTTTACTACCAAAAAAACTAGCTCCAGGGATAAGCAGCTCCCTCCTCCGACCACGTGCACATACTTTTTATTATCGACTCCAGGGATGAAAATTACTTGGCATGGGTACCTATTCCCCTTATTCCCATTCGCATGGCAGACATAATTAATTGATCATAGCATCCCTTCTCCCTGAGTCCAGGCACAGCTGCAAATGCCTTCCGAACAGGCAAGCCACAGCCAATCGGTCTGAGTTGCTACATGACCTCACCTTTATTTCCCCTTCCTCAGCCAACAGAGTCAGCCCCAGGCATGGTGATCCTTCTTGGTGGAGCCCCGGGGCACTAGAATCCCATTTCCTGCCTTCCTAAATCCCGTCCTCCCAGGCTCCATTTCTAACTGGGGACTTGCCTCTTTTCAGGAGATTGACATGGGGAATGACCAAATGGGTGAGACCTTGGCCCCTACATACAGGTGCCTGGCCTAACCACAGCCTGATGCCGCTGTATCTTCCCATCCTTATAGCACCTGTACCCTCCCACCCTCTGCCCTGGGGGTGTGACAGTTATCACATGATGACAGAATATGAGATATATTCATAAATGAAATCAAATATTTAAGGTATGAAATATAAACCACGGTTCTTTTTCTTTTTGTAGCACTATGAATATCATGCCCTTTTGTTTAAGATAGAAACTGAAAACAAATGTAATCCAAGTATCAGATGCAGAAGGGCTGTCACTCTGTTGGGTTCAGTATAATTCACATCATATGCCTTGCTAATATAGTGGAAATCCACTATCCCAATATCTTCAGGAATCTTTGGCAGCTTTAGCTTCTTGTGAACCTCGAACTCACTGTCATGTCTGTCTTCCCCTGGTTCTGCTCTGCCGACTTAGGTCAAGAACTTGGCCCGTTTTTCTTGACAACCTCCCCTCCCCCACCAAAAAAAAAAAAAAAAACACTAACAAAGTGTCTGCATGTAGTGCAGCCTTGATGGGAAGTTTGTGGCAACGCAAGGGGTTCACATCTCAGCAGTGCCAGTGACTTAAAATGAAAGTAATCATAAGCCTCAAGGACTTGTGGCCCCTCCGCCCTGGAAGCTTCTCCACGGCTCTGTCTCAGCATGCCTAGGTTCCCCTGGGGTATGTATTGTACCCTCTCTTCTTTCTCCAGCCTCCGCCACCTTGATTCGGCCTGTGTCTTGGCCACATTTCAGGACTTCCATCAATTTCTTCGGCACGAGAGACTGGTTTCCTCTAGGCTTTGCCATCTCCTTATAATCTCCCTTCCCTGCCCAAGCTACTTAGACGTAAGGTGATATTTTCCTGAACAAGGAAAACTCTCATCCTAAAAGAAGCTCTGTGGTTGGCTCTTAAAATATCTTTTTGTTGTTGTTGTTAACCCCAGAGATAAGTGACGACGGCTGCCTTGTGAAGGTCTTCCTCTGCCAGGTCCGATCATGGCGGGGAGTCCAGTGTCATTGTGTCCAGGCATGGGGGGTGGCGGGAGCTGGCCCTTCAGTGGGAAGGAGCTGGGTGGGGAGATGCTGCTCTCCCGGCATTCACATCACATGTCCCTACCTCCAGCCCTGTCCCTGTCCTAGCTCCAGGCCCATGTGGCTATTGGACGCTCTGCGGAGCCCCTACCTAGGATGGCGCACCCCAAACCTGACTCTTTCTGTTTTCCCCAAACCTGCTCTCTTCGCTGCCTTCCCCAGCTCAGTGAAGAGCGTTCCCACCCACAGCAGCCAAGCCAGGCACGGAGGGGCGTCTACTAATACCTTACACTTTTGTCATCAGCCGCCGTGTCCCTCTGCACCGGCCCATCCGCTCCACGCCTCTGCCACCTTCAGGCGACAGTCCCGACTCTCTCATCTCTCCCCTGCCTCACCGCAGGGTCCCCCTGTGGGCAGCCGTGCTCTAGCCCCCCACTCAGACACCTACCTCCCTGTCCCTTCTCCACTGCGGGAGTGAACTTTCCGAGGCACAGATCTGACAAAGTCACCCATCGCTTGGAATCTCATCAGTGGCTCTTCATCACGACGGGATCAAGTTCAGATTCCTTAGCGTGCAGCACGAGGCCCTTCCAGAAAGAGTCCCAGACCCACCTTTCTGGTCTGTCTGCTAGTCTTCTTTTAAGTAGCTTCCACTTTAGCCACACAAGAGAACTCTCCCTTCCCAACACACCAGGGAGGCCAGCTGAGGATGTCAAATCTTGCTTTCGGAAGGGCTTCGAGCCCCGGAGACTCCCTGCTGCCTGGCGGGTGGAGATGTGGTTCTGCTCCGAGGCTGGGAGGATCACAATGGCTCCCCAGCTCTCAGGGCCCCCTGGGCCGCCCTCGCCGACCTCCCTAGGCTTCAGGTCCATTTCTCTAATCTACTTCGCCACAGGCTACAAGAATATCGTGAGAAGTGTCCTCAATAACATCAGTGATTTTCTGAAAGTGATTTTCCAAACTGTCCTTCCTTAGGAAGTCAAGCTAAGCAGGAGCAAAGAGTGCTCGCCACGCATCCACCCTGTGCCAGGAGCAGCAGTCATGCCAGGGCTAACGGGTTCCTACTCGGGAAGGATTAAAAGCCTTTTGGCCTTTCTTCCTCTTGTGCAGAACCCTCAAGGGCTGGCATCTGTGAGTGGATAAACCTCATCCACAGGGCAGTGGTCCGTAAATATTTGCTGAATGAACGGCTGTCTGGACGGGGCCGACTCACCATCAGGACGGTGCAGGCATACAAGCCCGAAAGCGAAATTACTGGCCTCGGTGACTGCACCTGCCCAGCAGCTCTGAGTGACAGGATCTCTTTAGATCCAAAGCTCCCGGGAGCAGCTTGGGGAGCTGTGTGTGTCTGCTTCACCCAGGAAATGCCACGTGCCCAGCCGAAAGCTGGGCTCGGTCTGGGGACACGACACAGACTGGGGTGGGGAATAGGGAGCCGCGAGGATCCGGGGGGCAGAGCAAGTTTGAGGTCAACCCCCAGAAGGCCCACCCCAAGGATCCTGGCCCATGGAGGCTTGGTCCCGCTGGCAGAGGGAAGGGAGGCAGGGCCTGTGACCTCCTTCACTTTGTGTCACTCTGGGCACGTTTTTAAAGGCAGAGGTCCCTGGGAGATGCTGAGTTTTGGTAACCTCTTTGAGCCACAAGAAGGAAAACCACGTGGATTTCAGCAACCAGCCTCTGACTGGTGAGGGGCGTTGGCCCTGGATCAAAGAAGGCTTCCTGGGGAAGGAGCAGAGTTCAGATGTGCTGGGGGCTGAGAGGCAGGTGGTAGAGAGAAAGCTGGCCTGAGCAAGAAGCGTGTGGGCTCTGAGGTTCAAGCCAAACACTGCAGGCTGCCACCAGACCTGGGAAAACGGGCATTTGGTCTGCAGAAGCCTGGGCGGCAAGTGGCAAGTTGCATTCCAAGTTTTCCGGCCCCAGGAGGAGGAGCCCGCAGAATGTGAAAGAGAA